ATCCCATTATGTTGAGAAGGTGTTGAGTCGTTTTGGATATTCGGACTGCACACCATCCCAAACACCATATGATCCTAGCATGTTGATTCGAAAGTTCGAAGGCACGACTAAAGATCAACTGAGATACTCTCAAATTATTGGTTCACTGATGTACCTAGCGAGCGCAACGAGGCCTGACATTGCGTTTGCTGTGAGCAAACTGAGCCGGTTTGTTTCTAAACTGGGTGATGTACATTGGCGTGCTAGTGAGAGAATTATGCACTATCTGAAGGGTACTATGAACTGCGAACTTCACTATACAGGATACCCCTCGGTACTTGAAGGGTATAGTGATGCGAATTGGATCTCTGATGCTGATGAGATGAAGGCCACAACCGGGTATATGTTTACTCTTGGAGGTGGCACTGTTTCCTGGAAGTCTTGCAAGCAAATGATCTTAACGAGATCGACAATGGAAGCAGAATTAACAACACTAGACGCATCTGGTGTCGAACCAGGATGGCTTCGAGATCTATTGATGGACTTGCCATTGGTTGATAAACCTGTTCCGGCTATCCTTATGAACTGTGACAATCAGACTGTCATCACCAAGGTGAAGAGTTCAAAGGACAACATGGAGTCCAACAAACACATAAGAATGAGATTAAAAGCTGTCATAAAATTAAGAAACTCTGGAGTGATAGCGTTGGAGTATGTCCATACGACTAAGAATCTGGCAGATCCCTTTACAAAAGGGCTATCACGTGTTGTGATAGATAATGCATCGAGGGAGATGGGTATGAGACCCACATGAGTTGCCATGGTGGTAACCCAACCTATGTGATCGGAGATCCCGTGAAGCAGGAACTGGGAAAACAAGCCAGTGGTAAACTGAGGAGAGTAACTATACTAACCCACTCCGTTGGAAATGCAATACTCTCAATACTGTATGGTGGGATGACTATTGTCTTAATGTGTTCCAAAGCTTATGTAAGCAAGATTCTATTCCTACAGAGCGATCTTTGGAGGAACACACCTATGTGAGCCTGACTGCTGGTCACAGTCTATGAGATTGGGGTGATCTCTAGTAAGCTCATGAATAGCCCAGGAGTGTGACTTATATGCTCCACCCGAGGGGTCAGCCTTCGGCAGCCTAGTACCAGTAAGAAATGTGGTGAAGCTTCTTTACGCCAAACTGGCAATTCAAGGCATAGTCCATTGTTCAGTTGTGAAGGAGTGTAGCTACTTGCTCTAGGTGAAGCTCAACCTTACCAGGTCTTCACATAAACACTGGTATATCGAAACAACAATTGGAACAGAGGACACAATGGGCCCTTGAGATCTGGTGGGGAATTGCTGAAATTTGGGATGGGCTTTAGGCCCATATAGCAATTTCTGAAAAATCTCCAAGGGCCCATGTGGGTTATTTGGCACTAGGTGTAGTGGGAAGTTTAGTCCCACCCCGCTAGTGGAGAAGGAGTTGGACCTATTTATAAGGGTTTCTCTTCCACATGCTATTGGAGCTTGAGAATAGAAGAGGCCCTCGTGCACTCCTCCTCCGCCACCCGCCACGCCTCGTCACGACGCGCCGCGGGTTGCGGGATTGAGCCGAGCCGAGCTCACACCTACGCGCTTATTTTTGCCATTCACTAACGGAGAGTTTCTGACAGCTAGGCCACGATCTTAGACGTCAGATTGTGGGCTGTCACGAACTCAGACGTGGGTCGAGCCCACGTCTCTCCACGCGGTTGCGCCTATATAAGTGTGCGGTGTCTCCTAACCCTAGCCGTCACGAACATATCACATCTGCTCACGCGCACTGCCCACCGTCGTTCCTTTGCTGCTGCTGCCGCCGGTGACTCCATCCCGCCCGTCGTGTACACGGTCGACGGGAGAGCAGGTCTCCGAAACCCGGCCCTCCGGTTCCTGTACGGGAGAGGGGCGAATAGGTTTTTGGGAAGCGACTATGCGACTGCTTGCTGATTGTCTACTTCATCTACGACCGCGTCGCCCTCATCATCACCATGTCCACCGACGCCGAACGTGCCGCCGCCGAGAAGCTCGAGGCTGACAAGAAGGCCGCCGAGGACACCGCTGCTGCCGCCACCGTTGCAACGGCTTCTGCATTGCCTACTGGAGGGTATAGCACGTATATCCCTCTCCTGATTATTTCCGTATTAGCAGTATTAGCATTATGTGTAGATCTGTCTACTGTTTGCGTAGTACGTGCTCGTTTAGATCAGTATCAGTATGTTGCTAATTCTGTCAATGCCATGCTAGTCATCTATTTATGGATTAAATTAGTCAAAAAATTGCCTATTTATTCAGCATAATCTACATCTACGAGCAAGCATTGAGGGGGCTTGACTCACCGGAGCACGCGCAGTCGCAGCGAACCGAGGTCGGGGTGAAAACCCCGGCGGGAAGGACAGAGGTGGTGGAGCAGAGGAGGAGCCGGCGGCCTGCGGCATCGGCCCCGTGCTCATCGCCATGCCGGAGGTCGAGGAGGATGGCCCGCCGACAGTAGGAAAGCCTTGGACGGGGGTCAAGAACCCCCCTGCCCAATGGGGTCCCAAGAAGCGGCGGCTTTGTGGACGGCGCCGGCGCCGAGCCCAGGACCACGAGGTCCGGAATCGGCGGCGGAGCAGGAACGACCCGCACTGCATTGGCCGGCGCTCGTGGTGGCCGGCAGCAGATGGGGGACGACGCTCGCAGCGCCGACGCCAGGTCCCAGCCCGAGTTCTGGAGCCAGGCCAGCCAGCGCTCCTGGATGTTGGCGATGCGCTGGTTGACGGGGGTCAGAGGACGGCGCGGCGGTGGGCGAGGCGGAGCCATCGAAGGAGAGAAGAGGGAGGGGCGGTGAGGGAGAGAGGGAGCGGTGGGAACAATGCGACTGGGCGGTGACAGGAGAGCGGAGGCGAGTTATGAGACGTCCCCTCCATCTCCCGCGCTGCCCGAGGCGTGCAACTGCCTCGCACGCGTGGCCGCGCCGAGCCAGAAATTGCCGCTAGGCCAGGCTGCGATCTGCTTTAAGGTCCGTGCTGGTCATAAATCGCATGTAGCCCAGGCAACTAAACAGACCGCGCACATCCCGCACGGGCCTGGTTGGGCTGCATGGGGGCAACCAAACACACCCTCTATGTTTGCACAAAGGCACAAGTTTCTGCAGCCAAAAAAAGAAACCACGTACCAGTTCACTTGGAAAGCATTCTTGAAGCTGCTGACCATGCTAGAGTTGTTCCTAGCCATCGGTAGGGTACAGATTGCGGCTCCTGAATTTGATTCTGGCGACCATGGTTAACGATAAGGTGGAGATGTTTCTAAGATTTGCTCGTTAAAATTCTTTGTCCCAGGAGACTATGGCAGTAGATCTTTTGTGTGAATCTTTCTTTTTTGAAATGATCTGTCGCGTGAATCTGAACTTTCGTAAAGGGTGTGCTCATCCAACGCTCGCTCAAAAAAAAGGGGAAAAGGCGCCAGCATTCCGTTTGGCAATGCAGCCTCAACTTTTTTCTGCAAAGGCCAGAGCAGAACAAATGCATTTTTACAGCACTGGGTACGGTGCGCATCATCAACATCTGCGTACGTCGGCACTGGTTCCTTCCCTCGCACACTTGCAACCAAATTTGATTCGCAGCTCGTAGGCTGTGTTTGTTACAGCTTTCGGAGCCAGTTTCTCGTGGGAAAAAATTGAAACGGGAACAAACACCTAAAAATGGACAGCTTCGTGGCGACAGCCCAAAGCAGCTTCGTGATGTTTTACGTGTTATAGGCCGAAGCGACCGGGGGCGTGCTTTGGCTACGAAACGGCTTGCGCTTCGTGATAATCCCACCGCTAACCTAGCCGTTTCGTTCAATTTACAACGAGAATGGCATCCCTCTCCCGATCCATCCGAGCTGACTCATCTCTCTCTCGTCTCTCACCAGTTCACCACACGCAACGCAGCAGGGATAGTATTTGTATGGACCTGTAATTACATGTGCGAACAATTGTGACTTGCATGGACTTGCGTGACAACATAATTCTTTTGCTCAATATTATTCTATGTATATATGAGCAAGAAAGTGAGAGAATTATTATTATGAAATACTTTATGCATTACCATAGAATAAATCATCTCTTGTCAGTCAAAATACCATTTAAACAATATATTAACATAGAATCAACAAGTTACACTGATCTCAGTACTCTAAGGGCATTTCAGGCTTTTCATTAGCCCACAGTCATTTCCACAACTGCATTGCAAAACAGCTAACCTTCGTCACAGCTGTTTCCTCAGCACAACAGTTTTGACAGCACAGCAAGTCCAGAGCTGAATATGTCGAAACTGAAGCCCAAACAAACACAGCCGGTAGTACCGCTCTGGATCGAGCACTCCTCCAGATCTCAACGGTCGCCGCGCCACCTTCTCCGGGAAGAAACAGCGGCTCGACCGCAAAAACAAAGCCGAAAATCATACCGACGGTTCCCCAAAGTCCACGCCGCCGTGCTCAAAATCAGCGGCTGACGGGCCGTGCCCAAAAAGCAAAATCATCCTTCCCCAGCACGCTCCCCCCTCCGCCTCGGTTTCCCGCCCTCTCCCACGCGCACCACTGACACCCGCGGACCACCTGTCAGCCCCCACGCAGAGATACACACCACACGCCACGCAGCGCCCTTCATTAACCCACCGACGGGTGGGCCTGAATGGCCGCCAGCCCACACCTCAGTGCCGCGCGTGGCCTGGTAGGGCCCGGGACGCCTCCAGCGACGCAGCGCCAAAACCCGCGCGGGAAACAGCTCCCCGCCCGCGCGCCAAACCCAAACATTTTCGCGGACTTTTTTTTGCTTCTGTAGGCGGCCTGGGCGCGCCAGGAAGGCATTTAAACCGGCCCGCGCGAGGCCCCAAACCCTACGACGGCACCACCAACCAACCCCCCTCCCCTCACCCCAATCCACACCTCACCCCGGCGGCGGAGCGCACACCACCTGCTCGACAGAAGGCCCCTTAGGCGGCGGCGGCGGAGAGGAGGGCGCCGAGATGTACGTCGTGAAGCGGGACGGGCGGACGGAGACGGTGCACTTCGACAAGATCACGGCGCGGCTCAAGAAGCTCAGCTACGGGCTCAGCCAGGAGCACTGCGACCCGGTGCTCGTCGCGCAGAAGGTCTGCGCGGGCGTCTACAAGGGCGTCACCACCAGCCAGCTCGACGAGCTCGCCGCCGAGACCGCCGCCGCGCTCACCGCCTCCCACCCCGACTATGCCTCCGTACGTTCCCCCCTCTCGATCTATCTCTTCCCTTCCCTCCAGTTCCCCCCCTCTCGGCGCCTGCGTCTCCTGGGCTGACGTTTGTTTATCGCTCTTGTGAAGCTCGCGGCGAGGATTGCTGTGTCCAACCTGCACAAGAACACCAAGAAGTCCTTCTCCGAGACGTAAGTCATGACCCCTGTTTCTGCCATGATTCGTTCGGTTGGATTTCGTGGATTTGGCTACTGACAAATTCTGGACTGTGGGTGCAGGATTAAGGACATGTACCTGCACTACAACGAGAGATCTGGGCTGCTGTCTCCGCTGATTGCCGAGGATATCTATGAAGTCATCATGAAGGTGAGGCCCATTTCTGACAGAAAATCTCTCAAGATAACTGTCTTGTACTGTAGATCAATAGGCGGGGGACGGTCGAAAATCATATTTTTACCCTGAATTTACTGTTCCTTCACAATTATTTAATCTCCATAGGAATAGGATGATGTGATGTATTCTAGTATGCCCTGCTCTGCTCTGCTCTGTTTGTTCCACGATGCACTTTGTTTTAACATCTGCTGTGCTGCTTCTGATGTTGTGACATTTTATTTCAGAACGCCGCTCGCTTGGACAGCGAGATAATCTATGACAGGGACTTTGATTATGACTACTTCGGTTTCAAGACTCTGGAGAGGTCCTACCTCCTGAAGCTTGGTGGGGTTGTCGTGGAAAGGCCGCAGCACATGTTAATGAGGGTTTCAGTAGGGATACACAAGGATGACATTGATTCTGCCATCAGAACTTACCATCTCATGTCCCAACGCTGGTTTACTCATGCTTCGCCAACCCTTTTCAATGCTGGCACCCCGAGGCCACAGGTACCCTGTGATCTGCCATCAGAAAGCCTGGACGTGGATCTTGAATTTTCATAATTACAGTTTCATTCTCCATGATGCAGTTGAGCAGCTGTTTCCTTATCTGCATGAAAGATGACAGCATTGAGGGAATCTATGATACTCTGAAGGAATGCGCTGTCATAAGTAAATCTGCTGGAGGAATTGGTGTTTCTGTTCACAATATTCGTGCTATTGGGAGCTATATTCGAGGAACAAATGGAACATCCAATGGGATTGTTCCTATGTTACGTGTCTTCAATGATACTGCTCGTTATGTAGATCAAGGTGGAGGCAAGAGAAAGGGTGCGTATTACTCTTCTGTTAACAGTTCCTTATGACTCATTCTAATTCCATGGTCTTTTGAAAAATAAATTCATTGTTTCAAAAATCAGGTGCCTTTGCTGTATACCTGGAGCCCTGGCATGCTGATATTTTTGAGTTCCTTGATCTGAGAAAGAACCATGGCAAGGTAAAATGTTAACCTTGCACTATCTAATTACAGTTGTTGTTTTGAAACTCAAGTCCATAACCATTCAAATCTTCTGTACTATCTATAACATTCGAATTTACCTGTTACCTTTAAAGAGTATTCCATTGTACAGATGCCTTTGCAAGTCTTAGTTTGCTGCAATTTATGCCCATGCAAGAAAATAGTGCATATCAACATAATATCGATGTAGTACATTTGTGCATAATATGGAGGCTTTTATATAATTAACTGCTTACTGTAACCCAAACCTATGTGCTTTGTTTGTGATCTGTGTTTCTGTCATATACTATCTCTGGAAGGCGTTCTGATGAATGCCAATTTAACAGGAGGAGAACCGTGCAAGGGATCTTTTCTTTGCTCTCTGGGTTCCTGATCTATTCATGCAAAGAGTACAAAATAACGAGGACTGGTCCCTTTTTTGTCCCAATGAAGCTCCGGGGTTGGCTGATTGCTGGGGTGAGAAGTTTGAGGAATTGTACAAGAAATATGAAAAAGAAGTAAGTTCACAGCTTTATCCATATGTATTGAGTTAAAAAGGAAAACTCTTCACTAATCCACTTTCTGGTTTCAGGGCAAGGCGAAAAAGGTTATTCCGGCACAGACCCTCTGGTTTGACATTTTGAAGGCACAGATAGAAACTGGCACACCTTATATGCTCTATAAGGTACAATTCAATGTCAAAACATTAGATTGCATTCCAAGTTTTGATGCTGTCAATGATCTGGTCCCAATGATTTATTAATGCTCTTAATTTATCTGCAGGATTCATGCAATAGGAAAAGTAACCAGCAGAATCTGGGCACAATCAAATCTTCAAACTTGTGCACTGAGATAATTGAGTTCACAAGTCCTGAGGAAACTGCTGTCTGCAACCTAGCATCTATTGCTTTACCACGTTTTGTAAGGGAAAAGGTATACATTCTCAGTGCCCTGGATTCTATCATTGTCATGGAGGTTGTATTCTTATGCCTTACAATAAACTTCTGTTGCAGGGTGTCCCAATAGAGTCCCATCCATCCAAGCTTGCTGGTAGCAATGGATCAAAAAATAGATACTTTGACTTTGACAAGCTAGGCGAGGTTTGCTCAGATCCCACTGTAGATCCTCATTTCTGGCCTGTCAAATAATGTCCTAACATACTGTTTTTGCCAGGTTACTTCAACTGTTACTTTCAATCTAAACAAAATAATTGATATGAACTATTATCCGGTTGAAACCGCAAGGAGGTCTAATATGCGACACAGGCCAATTGGCATAGGAGTTCAGGGCTTGGCAGACACATTCATGTTACTTGGCATGGCATTTGATTCACCTGAGGTACCTTTCCCAGTTAATAAACTCTGGCATCTGTTCCTTTCTGGCTTAGCCAATATGTAACAAATGCATTCTCCTTTTCAGGCTCAGCAATTGAATAGGGATATTTTTGAAACTATTTACTACCATGCTCTGAAAGCTTCCGCTGAACTGGCGGCTAAAGAAGGCCCTTATGAAACATATGAAGGGAGCCCTGTCAGCAAGGTTTTCCTCTCCCTCTACAAATCTCTCTTTTTAGTTAGTGAAAAGAGTCCAATTTTCAAAACAGAAATGAGTCTAATGTTGCCTTTCCTTGTAGTTTTCTGTCCAATTTCCCCCCTAAATTTGCATCCACTCACCTTAGTGACTGAATCACTGGTTGGGAAGTAACAAGTTATCTTCTTCCTAAATTTTGTTCTCTACCAACTTCCTTGCAGGGCATTATCCAACCTGACATGTGGAATGTAGTGCCATCGACCAGATGGAACTGGCCAACTTTAAGGGAAACTATTTCTAAAGTTGGAGTAAGAAACTCTCTTCTGGTGGCTCCAATGCCCACTGCTTCCACTAGTCAGATTCTTGGCAACAATGAGTGCTTTGAACCCTACACATCTAACATATACAGTCGGCGGGTTCTAAGGTTTGTAAATACAGTCTTACTGCTCACATTCTGAACTCCCATGTGCATATCATTGATTTTCTTGTCATTTTTTTCCAGTGGGGAGTTTGTTGTGGTTAACAAGCATCTTCTCCATGACTTGACTGAGATGGGTATCTGGACACCTGCTCTGAAAAACAAGATAATTTATGAAGATGGTTCTATTCAGAAGATGGAAGAAATCCCAGATGATCTTAAAGCAATTTACAAGTACGTGGTTCACCCTCCTCTCATTTCATTCTACTGGATGCAGTCAATTATATGTATCTGAATGTTTACTCAATTATTGTATCAGGACTGTTTGGGAGATTAAGCAGAAAACTCTGGTTGACATGGCTGTTGATCGTGGATGCTACATCGACCAGAGCCAGAGCCTTAATGTCCACATGGATCAACCAAACTTTGCAAAGCTTACTTCGTTGCATTTCCATGCTTGGTCCAAGGTAACTCATCATGGGGATTCTGAACCTTTTTCTTTAACCCTCAACATTTCGTATCAAATCTTCAAACTGACAAGCAATGGTGTGCTTAATCTTTGGTTGGTGTCAGGGCCTGAAAACTGGGATGTACTATTTGAGAACAAGGGCAGCTGCTGATGCAATCAAGTTCACTGTGGATACTGGCTTTCTGAAGGTCAATGGAGTACGTGTTCTAGGCCTCTGCTCCATCTATTTAGCTCTCTTTCCAACCCAGCTGCTCAAAACATCATCACTCATAATGAATACACATGTTTTTTGCAGGATGCTAATGGCACTAATGGCAAACTAGCAGAGGAAGACGACGAAGCCAAAATGGCGCAGGTCGTCTGCTCCTTGAACAACCGGGAAGAATGCCTGGCATGCGGGAGTTAGATGCATCCGTTGCATCTATTTTTCTCTTAACCAAGGCAGCCATTACACAACCAAACGGTCTGATCACTGGCGTTGAATAATTGATAAGTGAGTCGTTTATGTAGGTGTGGTTGGGTTCAAGATCTGATTGAGTTCCTTTGGTGGGCAGCCCTTGATGGCTGGAGTTGCCAACGTTGGCTTGTGTTGTATTTGTACTATCTAAAAACATGGGTTGCTGCAGCTGTATATATATGTATCGTTGTTCGTGTTATTGATTTGTCCCGTTGTTGCTGTTATACTTATAGTAGTGTATCTGGCTGTGCTTGTTCCTTCTGTCTTCTCATGGAGGCAAGTCAACTCCTTCCGCCCGCACGAACCAGCCATGAGGGAGAGTAGTACATGGGCCTTTGATACCGCGACGCCCACCAGCGCGACATCCGAATCTGAGTTTTGTCCTATACATGCGATGCTTTGCTGACAAGTACATTAGTGGGAAGAGAGAGCGAGAAACAGTTAAGTAAGCAGTCCGGCGTCTTTTATTACATTCGCGGCCAGCAGCGATGGACTGGCTACCTTACAGGCCCACTTTGGGCCATTGACTTTGGCTTGCAAATTGAATTTAATTCGCAACTAGTACAACATAATACTGAACCCAAGGTTGTTGGTGTTGTTCATCGCTGTGTGCTGATGAGAGAGAAGCCAAAGTAAGCAGCTTGTGTCTGCTGGTGGAGACTCCAAACTGCAGAAAAATACATGTCCTCTCTCTATATAGCGCTTCCCTTCTCCAACGCACCATCTCTCTATCCTCTCGTCCTGAGCTGAGCAACACAACTTTCAGGCAGGCAGGCAGGCGACGTCCCTCACCAGCGAGGGCGACTGCCTCCACGCCGCCGGCTGCCCCTCCCGCGTCTACGTACGTACGAATTAACTCCTCTTACTAGCTAGCGACCACTTGCAAGTATAACTGATGTTCTCTGTAGTATTATTGGCCGCACCATGAGGCATGAGCTCAGCTAGATGAGTACACGGGTGTACAGACAACACAAGTAGTACTCCCTCCGTTCCTAAATATTTGTCTTTCTAGACATTTCAAATGGACTATCACATATGGATGTATGTAGACATATTTTAAAGTGTAGATTCACTCATTTTGCTCCGTATGTAGTCACTTGTTAAAATCTCTAGAAAGACAAATATTTAAGAACGAAGGGAGTACATGCTAAGTAAATAGACAATTTTTTGATTAATTTAATCCACGAGTATATAACTAGCATGGCATTGACACAAATAAACGCATACTGGTATTCAGTCAAGCAAGCACATACTACGCTAATTGCAGAAAGATCTACATATAATGCTAGCAGGGCTAAAACAGAAAAAAGTAGGAGCGGGATAAACGAGTTATACCCTCCAGTAGGCCATGCAGAGGCCGCGGCGGTGGTGGCGGCAGCAGCGTTCTCGGCGGCCTTCTTGTCAGCTTCAAGTTTCTCGGCAGCGAGACGGTCGGCGTCGGACTGCGACAAGGTGATGATGAAGATGCGCGGACGTAGAGGAAGTAGACGAACAGCGAGCAGTCGCGTAGTCGCTTCCCAAAAACATATTCGCCTCTCTCCCGTACAGGAACCGGAGAGACGGGGTTTCAGAGACTTGCTCCCCCGTCGACCGTGTACGCAGCGGACGGGATGGAGTCACCGGCGGCAGACGGTGGGCGGTTCGCGTGGAGCAGATGTGATCTGATCGTGGCGGCTAGGGTTAGGAGACACCGCACGGTTATATAGGCGCAGCCACGTGGAGAGACGTGGGCTCGACCCACGTCCGAGTCCGTGACAACCCATGATCCAACGTCTCAGATCGTGACCAGCTGTCAGAAACTCTCCGTTAGGTGTGAGCTCGGCTTGGCTCATTCCCGCAACCCGCGGCGCGGCGGGCGGCGGAGGAGGAGCGCGCGAGGGCCTCTTCTCTTCTCAATCTCCAATAGCATGTAGAAGAGCCACCCTTATAAGGAGGTCCAACTCCTCTTCCACTTCTGGGGTGGGACTAAACTTCCCACCTCTACCTAGTGCCAATAACCCACATGGGCCCTTAGAGATTTTTCTGAAATTGCTATAGGGGCTTAAGGCCCATCTCAAATTTCAGCAGTACACCCATGATTTTTGCCAAAAAAATCGTGTATGTAGGTATATACCATATGGCGAGTACTGGGCGCCGGCGCACCGGCTGAAACTTTAGGCCGGTCCGCTCTGCGCCGTAGGATTAGCCTATTGTCAACCGTCCAAAATTTATCCCCTGCCCCTGATACGCATCGTCTTTCTCCACAAAACCAACACATGACCCGTGTTGCACGCGACGCCTAGCTTGCCGTAGCAGCACCGACTAATCGCTCCCATCGCCACTCACCGCCTCGCCTTGGCCGCTCGCCGGCTCGCCGGATACACAACGGAGGCCCGGTCAAAACAATATGCCCAGCTGTTCCAGTGGCAGTTGCGCTTTGGAAGAAGCTGGTTGCAATATAATAAATCGCTGGTTCCAGCAAAGCAAATCTCTGATTCCAGCAATAACATGGATCCGGCAAAAAAAAAAAATCAAAGGATTGGATGGTGACAAAAATCAAAGACGGTGGCAGCAAAAAACAGGGACGGTGGTAGCAAAAAATTAGAACTGGGTTTCAGCAAAAAATATCATAGACGAGCGGTAGCAAAAATCAAAAGGACAGTGGTAGCAAAAATCATAGACGGTGGTAGCAAAAATTAGAGCTGCTTCCAGCAAAAAACATCTCAAATTACAGATCCTAGCAAAAAAACCCGCTAATTCCAGCAAAACAAAAGAACATTTGTAGCAAAAAAGGCCTCTATTTGTAGCTCCTGCCAAGGCTGGTTCCAGCATCTCGTCTGCCTGTCGTAGCACCACGTAGTCGCCGTTCAAGCACATCGGCCTGGGCTTGCAGCTAGGGGTGGGCATAAAAACCGACCAACCGAATGCCGAAACCGAAAAACCGAATTTTCGGTTTTTGCTGCTACTACAGAAAATTTCGGTTTTTACTTTTAATAACCGAACTCGAATCGGTAGGTTCGGTATGAAACCGATAACCGAAAGAAAAACCGAAGACTCGAGCGATCCCAGTACTCCAGGCAAGTACGAGGCTCCCTCACATCAAGCGTCAGGCTGGCCACACATCTCGCGAAGCCAGCAGGCAGCAGCCACTCGCGGCCACGCGCTCGTGTCCAGCTAGCCCATGTGCGAGCTACTTTTTTTGTGCGCAGGCCCACGTGCAAGCTAAACCAGTTTTCTGTGTCATGGCCTCATGGGCCTGGGCTGTCCGTATAATATTGAATCGCCCAGTCGTGCTAGTGGAGTCTGTAGCAGCAGTGAACTATCTTATTTGTTTAGTCCCACATCGACCAGCTTTTCTCAAGCGGCTAAGGTCCTTGGCTATATAAAAAGTCTCAGGGCCTCAAAGTAGCGCTGTAACTTGTCAGCAGCAAGGCAACTGTTCGGCATAAAACCGAAAACCGAACCGATTTTTCGGTTAGCTGTTTTGTGTTGCTAATTTCGGTTTTTAGTTTTGCTAACCGAATTTCTAAAATAACCGAATGGTATAAACCGAACTTTAGGTTTCTACCGAATGCCCACCCCTACTTGCAGCAACCACACCTCTTGATTACAGCTTTAGATGACAAAGGTTGCAGCACAACCCCTGTCGATTCCAACACTGCCTGGCCTGGAGCTTGCACTACGTCGTGGTAGCAGCAGCGGGGGGTCGTCGGCACCGATGCAGCACAAGGTGATTGACGGAGGAGCAGGAGCTCGATGAACCCCCGAGGGCAGAAACAGAGAGGGGGTGTTGTGTGCGGTGCTGGGCCGATGAGCTGGCATGGCCGGCCCGCACAACCTGTTGCCGGTGAGGGAGGGCACGCACCTATAGATGGAAGTAGGGAGGAAGAGGGGAAAAGCGGAGCTCGCAGAGGAGATGCGTTCATGGGCGAGGAGAAAAAGGAGTGGATCTGGTCGTTTCTGGAGAGATAAGGTAATGGAGAGGCAGCCGTTTGGCGTGTGGACCCACGTGTAGACCAGCGTGCGCGTGAGTGAACGGTGCGACCGGTGGAAACTCAGCCGGTCGACCGGGTATAAGGGCCTGTTTGGATGGAGGCCATACATGCATGTTTTTTCTCAGGCAGCGATCTCAACCTCAGGCTTAGGAAATCCAACGCCTGAGATTCCTGCCTGAGTCAGGCAGCTTTCTTTGGAAGGAAACCAAACAAGCCCTAAGTGTTTCCCATACCATATAGCGTATAAGTGTGTTGTAGTGTTGGAAATAATTTGGAAGCGTATTGGCCTCGTTCAGCCAGCTATGCGTACAGTCCAGCAGGCCACCTCCTTCTCCCCACCTCTTTGACGATAAAGGGTTTCCCCTCGCTTTATATTATAAAGCAACAACCGAGCATACAACCACCGATACCACAAAAAGAAAGAAGAAGAAGAAAAAAGAAGGCGGCAGAGGATACAAGATGCAACCGGACAACAACAGTCCTGACAACCCTAGAAGCTAGGACATCAAGGACCCCAACAACTCCAGGACATGCCCATGATACGCTCACGCTAATGAAGAGGCCCGCCGCCGGAGGAGGAGCATAGCCGTCAACTCCCATACCGTTGCCCGGCCATCCGAGAGCTCGCTTGATTCCCGATGGACTGTGAGAGGATGGCAACATGCTACCACGCCGGCAAAGCTACTCTGATCAACGCTACCGCCTCAGGCCACACCAGAAAGAACACTGAACATTATCGAGCAGGACTAACTGAAGCACACCGGCAAACCGACCACGCCAAAGCCGCGACCACCACTCACCCGTCCCAAAGGCGGCGTCTTTAGGAAGAAAGCGACGCCAAGACGCCGTCGCCGCCTAATCCAAGGGGATTTGGGTTTTCACCCGGGACAAGGAGGGGGGAGCATGGGCTGGGACTCGATGTCGACTCCAGGAAGTAGAACGGCGACGGAGCGCCGCTGGCATCGTGGCTTCACA